TCGCCCTAAGAAAGCCACGCGGGGGGCTTCCCCTGCTGTTCTGCAGACCCTGACCCTAGTCAGCACATGTTAGAAAGATGGATTTTGGGGACCCGCAGATGGCGTGATGGCTATGTCATTGAACTCCCACGTAGTCAACTGCAGTTTGAGTCCCAGACCTGGTGGTTTAAATGCACGCCAGGTGTGTGTGCGTGTGTGCCCAAAATCCCAAAAGGAGAATGGAGGAGAAGGGATTGTGGTATGGCCATCCCCCCTGGGGGGCAATTTCTCACTTTCTGTCTCTCTGTATCTCTCTGTCTCTCTGTCTCTCCAGCAGTGCACTCACCCTATTGCAAAAACCTCTCTCTAATAAAAAAAGAAATTACGGATTATGTCTCAGCCTGAGTTTAAATTCTGGTTCTGTGATAGGTCACCCAGGTAAGTTCTTTAACTTACCTGTGCTTTGAATTATTTATGGAAATGACATGAGGATTAAGGAAGATAATACGTGTGAAATTCCCAGTCAGGCTGTCCATGTTGTTATTTTAACCCTCTACAATGAACAGAAGTATGAAGAAATCCCTCATTTAAAGCGACGCGTGGGTTTTCATCCTTCTCACTGGACTCTGACTTGAACGGCCTTCCTGGAACAGAGAGCAGTTAAGTGTCCTTAGGCCACTTGATCAGCGACAGACAGCAGTCCCACACTCAGCTTCCCGAGGAGAAATCCTTACAGTCCTTTAATGCCAGCCAATCCATTCAGATATGGGGACTTGCCCAGAGGAGTCCCAGCTGGCAGAGTTCAAGGCCGGAGTGCAAGAATACGTGACTGATGTCCGTGAAGGCCGTCCTGTACCCAGGACACGTTAAATCCCCAGACCCTTGGGAAAGGGAGGATGTCGGAGACTTTCAGCCAAATTTTACATAGCTCGTGTTTGAGAAGAGCATTTGTGCAGAGTCACGTTTCTAATTGGTCTTTATTCTTGGGAAAACCGAGGTCAATGTTTCCTGTCGAACCCCATGATCAATCCTTTGTACACACTGTTCCGTTGGGCTGACCAATGACTTGAAAGAAGTGGTCAATAAGCCGATTCCAGACGGCACTGAGAAAGACATAGAAAAGGCCTCCCCGTCCATCTACCCTCTCAGGACGTCTTCGTCGGGAAAGTCAAAATGCCCAAGAAGCCCAAGTTTGAGTTGGGGAAACTCATGGAGCTTCATGGTGAGGGTCGTAGCTCTGGAAAAGCTCCTGGGGGTGAGACGGGTGCCAATGTCGAACGAGCTGATGGAGAAGAACCACCAGTCCAAGAACCTGTTAAAGTTCACTTTTCATAGTGACAAAAAGTCCTATTTGTGACCAAAACAAACAAACAAAAACATGATCATATCAGGCACATCCCCAGGATGAGGCTACAGATAAAAGGTTATTCATCTCGTTGACTTTCCCTTTAGAGCAGGTTCTTTCTTTGACGTTGACCTCTAAACAAATTCTGTTTTATGCCTGGGTCATTTCCTGTCTCCATTCTCATGAAATATACTCTCTAAGACTCTGTCTTCTCTAAAGAAGAGTCTGGAGTCTCCAGTCAGAGGTTTCCCTTCCGAGAACCTGGTCTCCGTCTTTCCTCACCTGACAGTCTTCCAGGGCTTCGACTTCCTGTCCAGATTCCCCGTTGGGTTTGAGAAGATCCCTGAGTTCGTTCTTTCAGCTGCTCATTTTTCTCACCCTTGGTTCCCTTTTCTCTACTTCCTAAGCCCTCTTCCTCATGTGACTGTGGGGACATGGTTCCGTTTACCTTTTCTGCTCTAGGGTTTTGCTGTTCTCTCAGAAGCATGAAATTATTGGGTCAGTGGAAAAGTCACGATGTATTTTTCTATGCAAATCTTCCTCATGTGACTGTGGGGACATGGTTCCGTTTACCTTTTTTGCTCTAGGGTTTTGCTCTTCTCCCAGAAGCATGAAATTATTGGGTCAGCAGAAAAGTCACGATGTATTTTTCTATGCAAAAACGCGCCCTGGCTTTTCCAATGACCCGATGTATTTTAACGTATCCCAGATCATTCTCTCTTGCCTAGTGGCATCTGATCGCCCTTTGCCTCTGATCCATCCTTTTCTGTCATTGTATTGTGCTTCTGCTCAGGTTTTGCAGACACGTGGATGAACAAGACAGGTAGAATGTGTCTTATTTGCCATGAGGAGTGAGGAAAGAGGAGAAGGAGGCCCAGGGAAACAATGCGTTGTCATTGCTTTGATTTCCCCGCAGACACAGAGACAGAATAGGCACAGGCCAGCCAGTGGTGTGGTCAAGGCCACTGTGTCCCACGTGGCCAGCACACCATAGCGCCCTGGGCCCAGCAATGCGGAACCACTCCAGGTGCATGTGTGCGTGTGTGCCCAGGATCCTGAAGGAGAGATGGAGGAGGGATTGCAGTGACCCTCCCTCATGGGGACGCTTTCTCACTTTCCTGCTGTCTCTTTTTAGCAAATCCATATGTACATTAATTCACATGCAAAAATTCTTAAGAACTAGATGTAAAAATTCCAAGTATGGTCTTTCAAGAATGGAAAAAGGTACGCGGAGAGTCTGCGTATTTCCAAAACGTCATTCTTCAGGAGACAGACCTTTCCAACGAGATCCAGTCTGCTCACCCTGGAAGAGAACAAGACTGAGAAGACCGTGTTGTAGAAGAGTAGCTCGGCGTGTCAGGGTGTGGCCACCTCTGTCCATGGCGGGGGGCACTCACGAGCCACAGCACAGCTTCCTCCTCCCGGGTCTGAACCAAGTCTCACGTTATTATTCAATGGGAGTTGATCCTTCTTTGGAAAACAGTTTTCCATCACTTGACTAGTGTCCGTATTTGATCTTTTTTATAAACTTCAGAGGGGCCAGCAGGAAGCATGGTGGTTAAGGAGCTGCATTCCCACATGGCCAACTGCAGTTGGAGTCCCGGATCCAATGGCTTGAGACACACTGGGCACGTGTGCATGTGTGCCCAAAACTCCAGGAGGAGAATGGAGGAGAAGGGACTGCCACATGGCCATCCCCCTGGGAGGGTGATTTCTCACTTTCCCTCTCACTGTCTCTCTCTCTCTCTCTCTCGGACAAGTACACCTTATGGCAAAAACCTTTAAAAAAAGAAAAAGGAAGCAGTTTAGCACATGAATGAGAAGTTATATAAGAATAATTTATTAACCTGCTAAATATTTACTGGCTATGTGTTATGTATCAGGCCTTATTTCAATCATTTGAATAAAAGAGCCAAATTCCCACTCTATAAAACTTGTATTCATTGAGGGAACCAGAAGATCATCAAGTAAGCAAGATTATTTCTTATGTGAGAGAACTAATAAATAACCTTCTAAGGTTCCCGTGGTAGTAAGTGCCTGACTGGGCACCACCGGCCAGGCCTGGCGCCTCTCGGGGAAGCACCCTGCTTGGATGTGGATGATGAGGAACTGCTTCTGTGGGAGCCCGGGGCCTGCTGGAGGGGACAGCCCGAGGGAAGAGCAGATTTGACATATGCAAGGGGAAGGCTGGAGGCCCACGTTTCAGGGGACATGACCCTGGAGAGCTGTCCCCTGGGCCACCATGCAGGACCTTAGAGGTTTTGGGGAGGAACTTAGATTGTTTGGAAATGCAGTGGGAAGTAATTGAAGGAGTCAATTAATTAATTAGGTGAATGGCATGAACTGGTTTACGGTATTTAAAAAACATTTGACTGACTTAGGGGATGAATGTGAATTAATTTTTAAAAACTGCTTCAGGAGGAAAAAACCATGAAAACAGTTTTTCTTGAAATTATTATTTTTATCCTTGAAATTTAAAAAATGCATAAAAATACCTATTTGATGGCTGCAGTAAGCTATCCAGCCCCAGCGAGGTGCTACTTTATAGCATGTCCATTCTACTCACTGAGGTCTATGCCTAAAGTCAGACTTGGGTTCATGGATATGTATATATCAGCTGTGCTTGCTATCGAAAATATTTAGATTAATTAAGATCTTTAGTGAATCAATAAAATTTGGTGGGGGGGGAAGGCATAGAAAGCAACCATAGATACCAGAGCTAGTGTGGGAGGAGGGGGGAGACGGCAGAGGGTGAGAGATAGGGAATCAAGGATGGCAAAAAAAAAAGCAAAGTATACAGGAAACGAGAAATGGAAACCTATTTGTTGACAATAACACGTATGTTGATGTGCTTGTATTCTGGATGGAAGATCTCTTTTGTATGCTGGAATGATGTATAGTGAATGAATGTAAATAAATGAGTTTAAATTAAAAAATTTTAAAAACAAAACAAAGCATTTCACTGGGAGGGAAAGATCGGATGAAGGGTGAGAGAGGAAACCAGAGGGAAGGCCGACGCTGTGCTGGGGTGAAGGAAGCCGTATGGCTAGGAAGTGGGCGGTTTGGACAGGTTCTGAAGCAGAGCTCTCCGAGCCACAGGGAGTGGGAAGTCAGGGCCCTTAGCCCGTCTCAGACACGTTAGCTCCGCCCCGAAGACAGGCAGCCTGAGTGGGGGTTCCCGCAGGGTCTTTTCACGGCGTGCACCTGTGAAGCACCTCACTCAGTTACTCTCAGCCGCTGCCCTGTTGATAAATCCCACTTGTTTCAAGAATGAAAGAATACGGGACCGGCAAGTGGTGTAATGGTTACATCACTGCACTCCCATGTAGCCAACTGCGGTTTGAATCCTGGACGTGGAGGCTTGAAATGCATGCCGGGTGTGTGCGCATGTGCATGTGCGTGTGCATGCCCAAAATCCTGACAGGAGAGTGGAGGAGAAGGGATTGCAGCGTGGTCATCCCCCCAGGGGGTGATTGCTCTCTGTCTCTCTGTCCCTAGCGAGCACATGTGCCCCTATAGCAAAAATCTATTAAAAAAATAATGAAGAAAATAAGAATGAAAGAATAAAGGAATTGAGTTTTCTCTCAGAGAGGCAAATTAGCAGCAGCCTTGGGCTCCGTTTTGACTGTGCTGACCCCGGGTGACCGTACCCTCCCCGTGTCTGCTTCGTCTCCAGGCGTACCGTCCCCTCACCTTCTGGATCACCTTGCTGGACGCCTTTTACCAGAGCCTGGTCTGCTTCTTCGTGCCTTACTTTGTGAGTCTGTGTTCACGTGTGCCCTCGTTAACATCGGCCGTGCTTTGTCGCACTTTGCCACAGGGTGGCAGTGTGAAGGGTCAGGTTGCCCCTTAACTGACCGAGTTAGAACACCCTACCACACACACACAGAGTTAGGTCATGGGTTCAGTTAGCAAATTAGTGCCTAGCTGAGTTCTCTTGGGTCTCGTGTTCACACTATACTGCCTAGCAACTTTTTCGGCCATGACTTGAATGCAGTCGAAAATGAGATTGTCGAAGATCGGAGCGGCCAAGTTAGACTGTGGAAGGTTTTCTAGCGAGGGCCGGACTCATCGTACCTGAGAAACACTCAGTGTATTCAGCTGAAGCTCTGCTAAGTGCTCTCTTCAAAACTAAAAGCATATTCCGCAGGTGAAGAAGGGAGGAAGAGTGACCGAGGAAAGGATGTGCAAAAATCAATGTAGAAAGTGTGCACTAGCACCAGGCACCCGTAGCCTCTGGGGCCGCCCACACACGGCCCTCTCCCCAGGAGAAAACACTCGTTTGATCATGGGTAGTGTTCACAGAAGTGCAGTTTGAAAAATGAAAAAGATGATAGCTTCTAAGCTAATATTTTCATTTTGATCCAAAGAGCATAATCTTAATCAGCATCACTAGGATATTCTGGCTATATTGCATTTTAAGAGGAATATCAACCAGGCCATCTGAAGTGTATTCCAAAGAGAATGGAGGGGATGGTGAATGATTAGAACGTTTGCCATCTGAAGAATATTTAATAACGTGACTATTATATATATCCATATATGTTCATCGGAGAGGAGAGACTATCTACTTAATGAGCGATGTAAACTTAGGGAAGCCATTATAGCTGCTTCACAGGTTTCCGGTTCTGTTAAGTAAAACAAGTCTGATGTCTGTACCTAACAGCCAGGTGACGGGCACACCGTGGGCACTCGATTCTCACTGAGCGTAGATCGGTAGTGTAACTCACACGAGGTGAGTGTGCGCACAGCTCTCCCAATGACCTGCCTTCTCCCTCCCTTTGCAGACCTACCAGGGCTCCGACATCGACATCTTCTCGTTTGGAAACCCGCTGAACACGGCTGCTCTGTTCGTCATCCTCCTCCACCTGGTCATCGAAAGCAAGAGTTTGGTGAGTGGTTTCCGGCCTCGGAAGTCCCCTGAGCGTGCGTGTTTGGGGAGTGTGCTCTCGCAGCAGTGGTGCTGCTTAGCCCTTCGGTTCTAGAAGACAAGGGGTGATGAGAAGAGGCGGGACTCCATGAAAGATGGTGATTGACAGCTGCTCTTGGCAACCGTCGAGTGCCACGGAGCTGGCTCAGGTGGAGCCAGGGCAGGAGAACGCCCACCTGATGCCTTAGGTAGACTCCATGCTGGGTGGTTCATGAGGCGAGAGGCAGGCTGGAGAAATGCTTACGTCCCCGTGGTCAGCGTTCAAGACCGAGCTGGTCATTTCGGCTTAAATAAAAATAGGTGTTAGGTCGTAATCCTGGTACTCTGACTTTAGTGAGTGACCATTGTGTGCCTTGCTTATAATGCAGACATAAAAACCATTTCACTCTGGGGCGAAGTTCTTCAGTGGTTCCCCATACCTGGAATAAGAGACGAAGCCCTAAGCAGGCCTACAAGGCCTGGACAGGGGCCCCCACCACCTCCCCACCCTCATTCCTGCCCCTTGTGCCCTGGGACCACATCATCCGTCTCAGTGTCTTGAACCCATGGCGCTCCTTACCGCCTCCGGGCCTGGGCCCTCCCGCCCCTCAGTGGAGGTGTTTTGCCCCATCTGTGTCCCTGGACTCACTCAACCGCAGTGTTAGCTTAGGCGTCTTCAGGGTTTAGCAAAAACGCTTTCCCTCCCAGGGCCCTTCCCTGACCATCTGCTCTCTCACCCCATTCTCGTGCTTTTAGACATAGCTCTAATAATTTATAGTTATTATTTAATTATGTGATCGTCCGGTTCATGCTTCCCTTGCATCGACACCAGTCTCTCTGAGGGCAGGGTCCGTGCCTGTTCGTTTGCCGCTGTACACACAGTAGGTGTTCAAGAAGTATTTGAGTCGGTAAATGAGTGATTAAGCAACCAGTGTTGGGGTCTGTTTCCTACCCTGGTGATGGATGAATTTCAGACGGAAGATAGCCGATGGTGAGATGAGAGTGTAAAATAATAGGATATGTTATAAAATTATTTGTAATCATCTCTAAAGTAGGCCTGATTGTTTATTTTTGGCATCACTTGCCTTTCTCATTGTCTCTAACCAAACTGTCTAACCCAGAATGCAGGAAAAGGATAATACCTACAAATACCAGGTGAGAAGAGTAAAAGGAATTTGGAACGAAGACATTTGGGGTTGTCCTAATACCTCCTTAACTTAGGTTTGAAGTCAACTGCAGACAGAGAGGCCTTTGGCGCCCACCCCAGGAAGTACTGTGGGTGCTGACATTAGTGTCCCAGGGCATCTAACAGGGACAGCGTGTAAGTTTGGGTTACCTGATTCTGAGTGACAGCAATCTACTCAGACTAGCCTGAACAAATAGAAAAGTGACTAAAACTACATTGAAGGGGGAGACCGGCAGGTGGTGTGGTGGTTAGGGGCGCTGGACTCCCACATAACCAACTGTGGTTCGAGTTCTGGACCTGGTGGTTTGCTTTCTCTCTCTCTTGCTGTCCCTTTCTGGTAGAAAGAAAGAAAGAAAGAAAGAAAGAAAGAGAGAAAGAGAGAAAGAGAGAGGGAGGGAGGGAGAGAGAGAGGGAGGGAGGGAGGAAGGAGGGAGGGAGGAAGGAAGGAGGGAGGAAGGAAGGAAGGAAGGAAAGAAAGAAAGAAAGAAAGAAGGAAAGAAAGAAGGAAAGAAAGAAGGAAAGAAAGAAAGAAAGAAAAAGTTAAATAGTCCTTGGAAAAAAAATAATACATTGAAGGGGCCAGCAGGTAGCATGGTGGTTAAGGCACTGGATCCCACATACCCGACTGAGTGGTTCAAGTCCCAGACCCGGTGGCTTAAAAATCATGCCAGGTGCATGTGCGTGTATGCTCAAAATCCCAGGAGGAGAATAGAGGAGAAGGGATTGCAGTGTGGCCATACCCCCCCAAGGAGGGGTAATTTCTCTCTTTAACCTGTCTCTCTCTCTCTCTCTCTCTCTCTCTCTCTGTCTCTGGCAAGCACATGTGCCCTATGGCAAAACATGTGTGTGTGTGTGTGTGTGTGTGTGTGAGTGTGTGTGAGTGTGAGTGTGTGTATGTGAGTGTGTGTGAGTGTATTGGTTGTCAGGAAAGTCATGACATGTTCTTCTCTGCTAGAATATGCCATGCTTTCCCAGACAGCTATGTGTGTGGGTGTGTGCGTATCCATAAGGCACAGATAGATACACACACACACACCATGGTAGAACAAAACAAGCAAAACAACAACTCCTGCAGCAGCGGAGTGGTTCCGGAGATCAGAGAGCAAGGACCGCACAGGCTTGCCGGGGCACGTGGTCTGAATCGCCCCTCACTGCCTGCTCTGACCTCCGTGTGCTCCCAGCTGGTCCCTGATGCCGAACCCCATTTCTCTAGATTCCATCCTAGTCTTTGGCTAGTGGAGAAGTCGTTCGCCAAGACCGAGAGCAGTGTGGGTGTTCTCGCCAAGGGGAAGGGGAGTGACAGCAGGTTCCAAGAAAGATCGCGACTGCTACATAGAAAACGCACCGTTAGAGAGTGGCTTCCGCTGCTGGAGGTCGCACGGCTGCAACACCCAGCCTCTGCAGGTCCCTGGTCCGTGCCAGTCTGCCGTTCTCAGAAGACAAACTGCCCCCACGTTCTCGCCTTCCGCTCTCCTGCCACTGCGCACTGCCTGTCGGCTCCTGCCCGCTGCTCCTTGACTTCACCTGCCTGCAGCCAAGTCACTTAGAAACTCCATGAAGTCCCGACCTCCATGACCAGAAGCACGCCTCAAAAGGGAGCGCTCGGAGCAGCAGATGTCAAATAGGAGGAAAGACATTTGAGAAAGAAAGAAGGAAGAAAGAAAGCAAAATCATTGTTTTGGAGGCATGCTGATCTTTTTCTTGTCTTTTTAAAAGTTTTTTTTTAACTTTTTTCTTTATTTTCTTCTTGCTTTCTTTTACAGTCACTGTACATTTTTTTAATTTAATTTATTCATTCATTTATTTTCATTTGACGAGAGAGAGAGAAAGAGAAAGGAAGTGAGAAAGCAAGCCACCAGGTCCAGGACTCGAACCATGGTTGGCCATGTGGGAGTGTCCAACACCTTAACCACCACGCCACCTGCTGGTCCCCAGTCACTGTACATCTTACAGCATACAAAATGAACTTCCTCACCGTGCATGCGCTGTATATTAGACTAGTCAAAGATAGTACTGTGCACGTGATCATCGATAGCACCTTCCCTCCTCGTGTTCGTGGAATGTTTGTTTTTGCTTTTTTATCCCTTGACTCCCTGCCTCCCACTGTGATCCCCACTGCCCCGCCTCCCCACACCGTCCTCGGCATCTGCGTACCCCCCAGCCTTCCTATTTCTGCAAAGAGTGCAGACGTTCTGTGTCTGCCAACCTCAATTCCCAAGCCAGCCAGCGTTCTCTTCCCGTCTGCACAGAAGATAAAGTCTTTGTGACTCTCGCGAACTACCTGCTGCCATGGAGAAAGGCTTTGCAGGATGAAAAGGAGGAAATTAGGTCTTGTTTGGAAATGATGCCCTAGAAAATAAAAGAAATGAATAAGGGCAGCGTTTCTCTGAAAAGCTTGACAGGGCACCAGTAGGACACGCTAGTTTTCGGTGGGGCTGTACACTGCGGTAAGGGACCGTGACTGCCACACAGCGGGACAGAAAGCCTCCGTCTCTGCTTCTCATCTGTCCAAGAGAAAGTCGGTTTGATCTGATTGTTTATCACAATATTTTTTTTGGGGGGGAGGGTACTTGTGCTTGTCAGAAAGAGAAAGGCAGAAAGAAAAGAAGAGTCACCCCGGGGGTGGTGGCCACACTGTAATCCCTTCTCCTGGGACTTTGGGCATGTATGCACATGCAACTGGTGTGATACTCAATCTGCTAGGTCCAGAACTCGAACCGCTGTCAGCCATGTGGGCGTCCAGTGCCTTAACCACCAAGTCACCTGCTGGCTCCTATCCTAATAACTTTAGCTAATTTCCCTTTACGAGAAAGACAGGTTCAACACCAGCCTCAGCACTTTCTATTGGATCATGCTAATAGTACTTTTAAGTAATTACCTACTTTTCTTTCTAAACCAAGTCATTTATTTAGAGAAAAATACTAAGAAAAATAGTATTGCAAGCTATGCGTGGGTGTGAAGATTGCTAGGTTATGGAGTATTTTTTTGCTCAAATAAAGTTGGCTGATGTTCCAGAAAGCACTAGAAGCAACCATCTCGCTGGCCCAGTCTGTCTCACAGCGGCTCTCTCTACAGTGGTCTCCAAAGAAGGTCTTGATCCGCGTGGAAGGGGAGGAGGCAGCATGGCAGACTGACACAGTTCTCACCCTCGAAAGCCCACGTGCCCTCCACTCACACTCCATCGGCCAAGGCAAGGCCCATGGCCAAGCTGGATTTCACGGGGTGGGGAGGTGCAGCCGCCCAGGTGCTCACTAGAGAAGACTGGGCGTGCTGGGGGCAGCAGAACGCCCACCCCTGCGCGAATGGGACCAGTGTGGGTCACGGGCCTCAGTATTACCTTAAACAAGAGCCAGACTGCACGACAGAGACACTGAAGGGAGCCCCAGCCGCTCCTGGTTTGCGGACAGTGCAGAATAAGTGAGTCAGCAGTGGGAAACCTGCTGGCTTTGACTTCATTGTATAGAACTAAACCAGTGATAGGAAGCCTTTGACACAAGGTACTGCTCTCTGCTCTCTTCCGTATTTGGTGTTTTGTGGCGAAGGTGTGTCACCCTACTCACCTCCAGTGGGCTGCAGTGAGCAGCCCCGGCCAGGCTGAGGTGCCCCCAGGGAGTACTCACGGCCCTGCTCTTCTTGCCTTGCAGACGTGGATCCACCTGCTGGTCATCGCCGGTAGCGTCCTGTCTTACTTTTTCTTTGCCTTGGCGTTTGGAGCCCTGTGTGTAACGTGCAACCCGCCCTCCAGCCCCTACTGGATCATGCAGGAGCACATGCTGGACCCGCTGTTCTACCTCGTGTGCGTCCTCACCGTCTGCACCGCTCTCCTCCCCAGGTATGGTGCTGCTCACGGAGTAAATGAGACCACCGGCTTCGTTGGGGCATGCACACACGTGGACCTGGCAGGCTCTTTTTTTTTTCTTCTTTAAGTGTTTGCTATAGGGCACATGCATTCACCAGAGAGACAGACAAAGGGACAGGGAAGGTAAAAAAGCACCCCCTACCGTGTGGGATGACCATGTCATCCTTTCTCTTCCATTTTCCTCCTGGGATTCTGGATATGCATGCACACGCACCTAGCATATTTTTCAAGCTCCTGACCTGGGACTCGAACCATACAGTTTGCCAAGTGGGATCCTTCCACCCCAACCACCGTATGACCAGCTGGCCCAGCTGAAATTTTAAGCAAATGTAGATTGATGAAAATGTGACCTGGCTCATTCTTACTGCTTATAGCAAAATGTGGGAAGAAAAAGATTAACTGAGGAAAGAAATATTAAGCACCCCCTCAAAGAAAACAAACAAAAAAACCTAGGGTTTAGGAAATTCCCAGCCCATCCAGATTGCAAACGTTGCTCAGATTAGGAGCCTGACAAACTGTTAACTATGTGCGCTCGAGGGAGGCCACGGATGTAACTAAACGGCCATCTTGCTGGTGCCAACGTGGATTGGTTAGGCGTGGACTCACGGTTCCACCAACCATCTCAGCATAACCTGGAGAAGACATGACTTTACAGCCACGGAAAGATCTGTGGAGGACCCCACGTTTTATGTGATACATCCCAAGGACATGTAGAGGAGACACGCAGTTTCAAGGATGTTTTATCAGAAACACTGCCAGCCTGGCCAAGGGTGACTCAAGGCCGTGGCGATTCATTAGAATAGCCCTGGTAAACAAATACAAGTAGCGGGGATGTTTCAAAATATTTGCTAGGTGCCCACACTCTGCCTGCTTTATGGTGTATCTCGTTTAACTGAATATTCAGGATCTGTCCTATCAACTATTGATTTCTGCTTGTGTAGATTTTATTTATTTTTATGGAATAAGCCCTTAGAGGGCATGCTATTTTCTGAGTGCTTTACAAATATTAATTCAGTATTGTTTTTTACCTCCATGTTGTAGTTCACTTACCCACACACCCCTCCCTACTATCTCAAGAGCCAAGTGGCCTCCAGACCCTTTCACTGTTCCTAATTGGTGCTCATTTCCCGGGAGTGCCAGGATGCATCTGAGCTGAATGTAACCGCTGATGCTTTGTCTCCAGGTTTCTATACCGCGTTCTTCAGGGGTCCTTGTTCCCATCTCCAATTCTGAGAGCTCAGCACTTCGACAGACTGACACCAGAGGCGAGGACCGAGGCTCTTAAGAAGTGGAGGCTGTCTGAAAAGATGTCATCGAAGCCCGAGGACCAGGCTGCTGGGGGGTCGGGAAGAAGCCCTGGGTCTAGCCCTCCCTCTGCCTTTGCAATGACGTCAAAAACATGTGCTGTCGAACGAGGACACGGACCTGTCCACGAAACTGCTCTCGACCTAAGCTGAAACCCTGCCCTCAGAGACGGTGGGCCACGAAAGGTGAGGAGAGTGACACCTTCCTCCAAGTGCAACAGTTCTTTCCAGTGTGGACAAGGGACCTCGAAGGCATCTCAGCCAGACAGTGGCTTCTGTGTTACGGAGCTTGGAAGAGCTGGGTGATGACCATGGCTACCCCACTGTATATGCGTTTGGCCAAGGGTAGCTTTTGATCTGGACAGAGTTTAAGGAAGTGAAATATTTAATGCAACGTCAAATGCTTTTTATGAAACTTTCTGGAGTTTGTAAAAGCATTTTCATTTGTCTTAGAAATGCCAACATTTTCAAGAGGATTATTTGAGATATATTTATTTTATTCTTGGGAAATGTTTTCAATGATCAGGTTCCAATGTACCTTTCATTTTAATGAAGGAAAAAAAAAAGTTGTTTTTAGGTCAGTTATTGAGAACGCAAAGGAAATTTCCATGTGGCTTGGCGAATTTACAGGTAAATTCCCAAGAACCTTTTAAACAGCATGTCCCTGGTAAAGGGTCATGATGGTACTGTTTAAAATGTAGCAGGTGACTAGTAAGAGCTCGTTAATTCCTTTGGAAAGATACCTCTGGTCTCTGACGGATGGCATAGCACCTCTCAGCTCCTGCCAGGGTTTTCCCCAGGTAGAGCCACATGAGCAGGAACAGGAGGGGTCCCATCAATACCAGGAACGTGCTCCTCGCTCAGCCTCCACTCAGAAGACCTTGTGTGAGGTCTGCCTCTGTGTTCATGCTGTTGGTCAGGAAACAGGCGCCAGATCCAGAGCTAGAACTGGCACCTACAGCCCACGTGACAATCTGTGCCCACGTGACAATCTGTGTTCTGAAACTGACGAGCCCCTCCACCACCCGGTACAGCCCATTCCAGAGCAATCTTCCAGAGATCGCTTGAAGGTTCGTGGTTCTTATAATACCCCGTAATTTTGCTGGTGCCATAGTCTTTAAAAGTGAGCTATGACTTGAGACGAATACAGGATGTTCTCAGGAGGTTTTTCCATGAGGTTTTTAGAGAAATGTGTGTTCGAATCCGTTTGAGAGCAGGGCTGTCCATGGCCAGTTCACTGCTGCTGCAGATCATGTACGCTGGCTTGAGATGGCAGCGCTGCTGCTAGAAGATCGTGATTCCTGTTGCAGTTCTTCAAGTTCTCTCTATTCATCTGAAAGGTGTTGGCCTCCAATCACCCAGAATTCCTTTGTGAGTCCTCACGCCACCACGCAAGGTCCGTGTGCAGCGTGGAGCATGGAGCGTGGAGGTCTTCGTAACGACTAGTGAACATTGCTCTCAGGGCCTGCTCTCCCTGCCGCCTCCTACCCGGGCCTGACATTTTCTGTAGCCCTCTGATACCGTGGCCACTAGTCTGTTGTGAAATAGACTGAGTTTTAGAGTCCTCCAAACCCCGCGTGGGCAATGGAAGTCACATTCTGCTCTCCTTTGATTTTTTAAAACTAAACTGTCGAACAGATCACCTGCACTGACGAACTGTGGTCGCTCTCGCGGGTAGGCACAGACTCCAGCTGTGGCTGGTTCCAGAGCGTAGCCGGAAGGTCCCAGCACACACCGCCCACCAGCACGCCACCCTCTGGCCTTTTCTAAGACGGCAGAGTTACTGAGGTGCTCCCACGTGTTCCCCTGGTGGCCGGTGGTGGTCACTCCCTACAGTCGTCCCTTTCTGATAGATAAAAATTTAGAGCTACGTCACTTGCAAATAAAAGTTTAGAAGCTAAGGATAAAAAAAAAAAATAAAAAATAAAAAAGTGAGCCAAAACTTCGATGAAAAAAAAGGTCAGCTTTCAAAACATGAATTATCGTACATAGGAATGGAGAAAATGATGAGTCTTTCACTCGTGGTATGGGGCCACAGTCTCGCAGCCACAATTCCGAAACCCCTAAAGCTCTAGAAACTGAAAGATGTCTCGCAAAGCAGGCACACAGTCAATGCCTGGACCAGTGTGACGCTGAGTGTAACTGCAGGAAATTATTTGTCTATTTTGCTATAAAAAAAAATACTGTATTTTGTTAGGGGATGCTGAACTATCTTATTTTTTTAAAGTTTGGAAATCATGACACATGAAACACATCTGGCACCCAGGGACAGAGATTTGAGATTTGTATTAAGCCTTTGAAAGGTCACTTTTACAGGAAAATAAGTTTTACACAGTTACCCAAGCTGACGTTTTACCATTCAGCATATTACACCAAATTGGGGGGGATCGAGAAGGATATTACTACTTCTGGTGGCCAGGAAAAATTAATAATAGGCATTTGGGGATCTACTTTTCTTAGATTTAGAAAAGAATTGGCTCCGGTTCCTAAAACATACTCTACCATTAACGATCTGTGTTCTTACCACGACTGAAGTTCTGATTGCACACTCAGTGAATGAATGCTTTGAGACTATTACCTTCCAGTTCCAGACTACTCAAGGAGCCATTGGTCATCTAAAATACAGGGTCTGTTTCTGTGAGAAAAGACATAAGACAAAGTGGGGCCAGCAGGTGGCGTAGGGATTAAGGCACTGGACTTCCACATGGTCAGTTGTGGTTCGAGTCCTGGATCCAGCAGCTTGAAACTCATGCCGGGTACATGTGCATGTGTGCCCAGAATTCTCAGAGGAGAATGGAGGAGAAGGGATTGTGGTGTGGCCATCCCCCCTGGGGGTGATATCTCACTTTCCCTCTGTCTTTCTCTCTGGCAAGTGCACATGCTCTCTGCCAAAAAATAAAATAAAATAAATAAAATAAAAAAAGCTTGATGACAGACACATTTTGTCGGTGGGAAGCCAAGCACTCACACGCGGTTCTAGTGGGACAAACAGCTCCTGGGACTGGCTGTCTTTGCTTCACACCCATCCATCCATCCATCCAAAAAAAGTGACACCATTTTATTTGCATCAAGAATGATTTAAAATAAGTACAATATGTACATTTCACTGAACATAGGTTGAACGAGGCTGAAAGTTGTTACACGGAGTACGTGGCTACGGCTGTAACAGACTGACACACGCTCGGGGACGTTCGCACAATGGACCACAGTCGTGTTGCTGGGTTTCATACACAACCTCCGGGACAGGAGATGAGTCACAGGGAAAGCGTCAAAACGTTTTGAATTTCAAATACGTTTACATATAGAAAAGAGTATAAAAATACATGTTGGAAACGGTGGGCATGATTTCCCAGGCACGCTGAGGCCGCCCGGGGTGCGGGCGGAGGTCAGTAGGGAACCCTACTTGTTCGAAAGGCATTTGGATGTTGCAAAACACTGGGTCATCGGGAAAGTCATGATGCAATTTTGCTTCGAGAAATATGACCATCCCAATAGATGACTAATGAAATTAATAAATGGGGAGATTTGCGTCTTGAGACTTTGTAGTGGAGAACATGACTGTCAGCCACCAACTGCTTCCAGAATTGATTTCTGTGAGGTGGTCTACTGCTTAAAAGCATCTTCAAATTGTTTCAATAATGAGAAGAAATGGCGACATCAGATGTGGAACATCTTTTAGGGAAAATTGCAAAATGTTTTACTCCATACCAAGTTTTATTGTGCTTTGAAATATATGTCTATGACTTTATTGGTATCGGTGAACACAGGAAAAATGGAAAATATTTAATTGGGGGTGGAGTGCAATTTGGTTTTCTTTTTTAAAAATTGTGTCTCTCCAGCCGAGAGCAAGTTCTCCTTTGGCAAAACTTAATGTTTACTTCACTGTCACACGGGAAAAGCAAATATTTCCCATGGACATTGGCCTTGTTGTTGAAATTTCAATTAGGCAAGAGTTAAACACCGAACAGACTTCAGCTCTGGGGAGAGTTCTGTGGAGATTTCTCTATACAATTACAACCTGAATTAATGGATAGTCCTATAAATTCCAGGTGTTGATCCTGATGTCTAAAAGAACCCTCTGCGTTCAATAAGTCTCGCTGTTTCAGTGGCCTGCATGGATGCTGTGGGTCTTCCACATCTTTCATAAATTCTCAGAATTATGCCAGTTTCAGAAAAGGAATAGTAATAATTTAAACATGTAAATTAACCTGGCCTTTTTTTTTTTTTTTTACTTTTTTGAGAGTTTTGCTATAGGGCCTGTGTGCTCACCAGAGAGACAAAGAGACAGAAAGTGACAAGTCATCCCCCAAGGGGATGGCCAGGCCACAATCCCTTCCCCTCCATTCTCTCGGGATTGGGGGGCATGCATGCATATGTGCTTGGGCTAAGTTTTAAGGCTCCAGATCCAGGACTCGAACCACAGTCGGCCATGTGGGAGTCCAGCGAGGTAACCATTATGTCATCGGCTGGTCTCCCTTAACCTGGCTTTTAATAAGTCCAAAGCAAGTCTCCAATGTTACTATTGAAGCCTGCCACTGAGCCACTGTGCTCGAGAGGCAGGAACCCGCAGAGATGGGCCAGCCTGGGTGTCATGCCCTTCCCACGACAGAATAGGAGGGAGGTCTGCCCTGTTAGCCTGGAGCCCACGTTACTGTCTCTCTCCAGAGCTCACTTCGTGCTGGAGTCAAGGGCAGGCATGGCAAAAGAACAAAACCTGCTTTGCTGTGTTTTTTCTAGTACCTTTCATTGAACTGAAGAGAACAATTAAGTTGGGAAAAAAGCTGAATAAAATTAGTCCAAGGCAAATGTGAAAAATGTGCAGTGTACGGCAGTGCATCCCTGTCTCTGAAAGGGGCTTCTACAAGCTCCGCGCGAAGCTCGTCAGGCTAGGCTGCCCGGTGCGTGCTGCTGGCGAGTCTGACGGGCCTTGGCATCAGCGGAGGAAGGTCTGGATGTAGATTTGTCTTTCGACCCATTTGACGAAGTATGACACGTTGCTATAAACGCCAGGCCCCAGGATTTTGGAAAAGCAGACGGAGCCCCATGAAGTTAGACCGAAGAGTGTCCACTGTCCTCTAGGCTGTTCACAAACCAGGGGCCCGCCACTGTCACCCTGGAACGAATGGCAGCAGACATTAGTCACTGGTGTTCCCGAGCCCCGATGGCTCCCGTGTTATCCTGAGGGTGCAATAAAGCCCAGCCCAGCCTTAACCAACTTCTCGGAAAATTTCAACAAGCTTTCATTGTCAGCCTGTGGAGGGAGGGTGCTTTTTACTGTTTTAATGAAACTCAATTGAACATTTTAAGCTCATCTGCCAAAGAATGGGGGTGGCTTGGGAAGGGATTATATTTTCTTCTTTCCATGAAAAGACATTTATTAGTCATTTCCTGCATTGTCCGAAACATGTCCTATTTTTTTTTTTTTCGGGAAAAAGCTTAATGTCTTAGAACTTGTTATATCATTAACTGACCTGTTCAGGTTTGATAACTAAAAAAGTAGCCAAAACGGAACAAGGACTTTTCCCCCAACAGTCAGTGCGACAGAAACATTCTACAATAGCCTATGTTTTCGAGGTTGCTTTCTATAATGAATGCACTAAGTAAAGCACACATTGGGGGGGTCCTTACTGAACTTCTTAATAGTTCTTACAGATTTTTCATTTGGCAGTTTGATTAGAAAATGCTACTTTAGGGACCAGCAGTTAGCGTAATGGCTGTGTTGCTAGACTTCCACGTAGTCGACTGCGGTTCACGTCCCGGACCTGGTGGTTTAGACTCATTCCAGGTACGTGTGCATGTGTGCCCAGAATTCTGAGCACGTGCCGGGTGCGTGTGCGTGCGTGTCCAAGATCCCGAGAAGAGAATGGAGGAGAAGGGATTGCGGCATGGCCATCCCCCCCTAGGGGGTGATTTCTTGCTTTCTATCTCTCTGTCTCTCTCTGTCTCTCTCTGTCTGTCTGGCGAGCGTGCGTGCCCTATAGCAAAAACCTCTCCAAAAAAAAAGATAGCCACAGCCTGAGCCAGCAGGTGGTGTGGCGAAGGCGCTGGACTCCCACATGGCCGACCACATCCGACTCCTGGACCTGACGGCTTGAAAAATCACACAGGCTCATGTGTGTCCAAAACCCTGCGAGGAGGATAGAGAAGGGACTGTGGCGTGGCCATCCCCCCGGGGGGTGAGCTCTCATTTTCCCTCTTGCTGTCTCTCTCAGCGAGTGCATACACCCCATAGTAAAAACCTAAAAAAAGAGGAAAGAGATACAGCAGCTCTGAACGTCCACTACTAGAGGGTGCCAGGACTGGCAGCTGCGGGATGCCGGGAGTGACTGTGCCTAACCCGGGTCTGCGCTTGGGCCGTCCATGCCCTCTCAGAGAATCACCTTCCTTCCCACCCTTAGCGATGACAGAATGACTCAGCGTGTGACAAGGGGCTTTGGGAGACCTTCGAATCAGCTGGAGAAGGGGAGAAATGTGCTCGTGGGGACCACGGCTGCAGTGCAGGCCAGGCACTCGGGCCGAGCCAGCTCCCTGGGTCACGTCCGCACCTCGGCCCTTCATGCCGGGTGTCCTGGGGCAGATTACGTAATCTGCCACCTCCTGCTTTCTCGACCTCTGGGGAAAACGATGATACGGCTGCGTAGGATGGTTCTGAGCACTCCATGCACCCTTGGAATTAACTTGGAAGAGCG